ATAAATATAGCAGTATTTTTTTGCAATTTTTGCTTTTGTTCTGGCCAAATGCCAATATTCGGTTGACAACCAATGCAATTTTATCTTCTGCGAGTAAAATCATGAAATTGGCGGTGGAATCACGATTTTACATTATTTTACTTGATTTTAATGATTTTATTTGATTTTATTAATTTTCAAGTTTTATATAATTTAGTATGTAAAACTTAGTTGACTTATAAACTTATATAATTTTATAAATTAAATTATGATTTTAACAACCTTACTTTAACCATTCATCTCTTTAAAAAAAGATTTATATATTATAAATACATAATAAATTCTTTAAACTCAATGAATCTATTTATTCTTAATATTTTCAATATATATATTTTTAAAATTTATCACTCTATAATATCAGCATATATATTTTTTTTATAATATTACTCACTTAAACATCTAAAAATTTCTACTTTTATCAAAAAAGATATTTTGCACATATAAGCTACCTATGACTTTAACCATATATTAATAGTTATCAATTACCTAAACTTTTTATATCAAACAATTAGATACTTTAACTAGAAAAAGAATGAAATTAGTTATCTAACATATGAATTTTATTCCTAAACATCATAGAATTTTTTATAATTCATAACATTATATTATTAAAGAATACAATATTTTTTTTCTTTTCATGGTTACTTAAACATTGCCTGATTTTCACATGTAAGAATTAAGAATCATTTTCATATAAAATGTTTATTCATTGAGTTCCTTTATTTATTTATTTTTGTACGATTGGAGTATTTTAGAGTAAGTTTTGGTACCTGAATTAAATCTTTTTTTCATCACATTTTAGACATACCATTCACATGTTAACTAATACATTAATATAGAAATTATTTTATGGTGATTTATCTTAAAATTATAAACAATAAAATTGCAGTTATATAAAGTCAAATTAACAGTATCAAACATATATCTTCGTTATAATACTTGTAGGCAGGCATCTCAGAATATTAGTTGACGGGCATGTGATAGGGAGACTTAAATTTTATGGTATAAGAGAGACGGCACCCAGCAAGATCTATGCAATTGTTGTCTTTGCAAGCAATGGAATTTAAGAGTCGTTTTTAAGCTTCTGCAACTGTTTTCTCATGTTTTTTTTCTTTTCTTTTTTACTTTGCAAAACAGAGGCTTCAAATGTGAAATCTTTGAAGATATTCTGCATATTATTAATTTCTTTCATGCAAGAACGTGTCTGCACTGTTCACAAATTAATTTACTTTTGTGCTTATGGTTGTAAAGGGCTTGCTCTGGTCAAAAGCATGGTAAATTAATTTAAAATTTATAAAATTATTTAAGATATGTATAAATTTATCTGAATATCAACATTAAAAAAAAAATTCCGAGGAATCTGTTGATGTTGGTGTACAGTGTTTTAATCAGCCAACAACTAGGAAAAGACAGCCAACAACTAGTTAAAGATGGCACACAAACAAGCTAAACTTTTCAGCAACACCGCTGTTTCTCTATCAAGAGAATTTGTTTTTTATATTTTTATTTTTAAGACGGGGAGCTACCTAGCCTCCCTCCTCCCATCATAATGTTTACGGGGAAAAAACAAAACACACCCATTTCCCTAATTTTTTCTCTCTCAAAACTTTCTTATTTTATCTACATTAATCTATGTTTTTCTAAGTTCGTCTTGAGTGTTTTCTTGACAGGTGGTGACCGGTATGAGCTAGTTTTATCACTGACTAATTCACAAGATTTAATCGAGAGAAGGTGGCTTCGAATGAGTGACTTTCAAGCTGTCTGGCTACATGCTCATCATATGATAATATTATGCTTGGACTGAAGTGTCCATGTCTACCAAATGGTTGATGAATAGAAGGAGTAGCTTCGGCCACTTGGGTGCTTTTTTAAACATGGAATCATAGTAATGAAGACAACTTGTAAAGCTGTATCATCATTCATCCGTTTGATTCATCCAGGGTGTTTCAGCCAGATAACTAGGCCCGCCATTGCTCATCACTAATTGGTATATAAGCTGGCAAAACCAGCGAACCACCTCGCTCTATATGCATGAGCCCTTGCTTGTCTACATTCAATAATCCAGGCATACTTCTTTAATACAATTCTAATATTTTCGTGACCTCACAATTAATCCCCGTTGCTCAATCATAGAGATTTATGGGAAATTAAATACAAGTAGTACCACAAGTTTTAAAGCTGGTTTTGGGATTAACTCGGGGTAAGTCCCCGATTACGAGTTTACTCGGGGTCAGTCCCCGTTGCTCAATCACCTTTATTACCTAAATTGACTGGGTTCTTGAGACCCGGCCCGCCCTCCATCCTATATCACAAGTTAACCTGTCCAACCGGTCGGGTTTTGAAAGAGCAAAGAGTGCATAAGATAAATTGAAGGACTGGATATATTCATGGAGCAAGAGTTGAGCCCATGATTTTTGGACATTAGAGGGATCAAACGGTCATGGTCCCATGTTGGTTTCAGATCATATCGAGGCCTATGACAACCAAAGCCATCTGCTTTCTGCTTCATGTAGCCATTAATCCAAGCTGGCACCTTTCTGTAGGTGGGATTTCTTTTTTTTCAAGGAATAATTATTGAGGTTGAAGAAATATTTGGTGCTTGCTTCCACGACTTAAAGACAGCACCGCAGATGACTTCAATATTTTTTTATTCTTTTTAAGGAAATATATCATCATAACTACAATAGTTATTGAAAATAGGTAATCTCATAATGTGTTTGTCCTGCTTTTTCAAAAAAATAATAATAAAATGAGCCAATTTTAACATTTAACCAAACCTATTTTTTATTCTAATTTTATCTTTAGTGTTTTTAATTGTAAAAATTATTTTTGATATTAATAATTTAAAATAATCTAAAAATATAAAAAAAAATATTAATTTTAAACCAAGAGAAAAATAAAATATACTAAATTAAAGGAATGGAAATATAAAAATAATTTCTAAAGTCAGATAATGCGGAAAGAAGAGGAGAGAAAAGAAATGCAAATGGGTCTCAAGTGGATCGATTAAAAATATAATTTTTTATTTGGGCACTTTACAGCCTGGTCCACAAGATTCCGTGGCTAATACGGAATACAAAGAATCTTTGGACCTCGCGCGATTGAATCTTTTCAAGGCAACAAATCGACACCGTTTCATATCAGGCTGGCATGTATGAAGCTGATTTGGAATTTTAGATACAGTTACCCTCTTCCAACTATAATATCTCAACCACCACCACCCCCGCCCTCTTATTTCTCTCCTTCACATCTCTCTCTCACTGTCACTGTTACTGGCTAGCCACCTCTAGTATATATCTCCATAGCTATCTTCTTGTGGGTTTTTTCTTTGTTTTACCCTATAACTTTCCTTGTACCTTGTGTTGAAGGACATGGCAGAAGAGGAGCCAAAGAAGGTGGAAACTGAAACCCCATCAGAAACTACTCCTCCTCCACCACTAGCCGAACCTGAACCGGAAGTTAAGGCTCCAAAAGATGTATCTGAGGAGAACACTGTAATCTCTCCTCCTCCTCTCGTTGAAGAGAAGGTGGAGAAGGTTGAGGAGTCAAAAGCGGTTGCTGTTGTTGAGAGTAAAATATTCGTTCCTTCTTCTTTCTTTTATCCACTTTCTTCATAAGCAAAAAACCCACTTTGAATTCTTTGTTGTGATTCAATATTTTTTTATCTGTATAGATTTTAATTTTCTAGGGTTCGGTAATTCTGTAAGAATATGTTTGTCTTTCTTGTTTCTTTATAGACTATCACTTGATGAATCCTTTTAGATTCTTATAACATAAAATAAATAAATTTCATGTTTGCCTTTGTTGTTTGATACGTGTTATCACCTTGAATTTTGAATTTTTTTGTTTTCTTGGGGCAGAAGCATCTGAATCTGCCGAGGAGAAAACAGAGGGCTCTGTCAATAGAGGTATCCATTGTTAGATTTTAAGATTGTTCTTTTCTTTGATTATGGGTTCTTCTTGTTATTGATTAATTAATATCAGCTTAAGTAATCAATTTTTTTTTTTGTTTGTGTAGATGCTGTTCTTGCAAGGGTTGTTACAGAGAAGAGGATATCTCTTATCAAAGCATGGGAAGAGAGTGAGAAATCCAAAGCAGAAAACAAGTATGGGCTTTCTTTCCAGTAGCAATTTATTAGTAATTTTCAGTTCATTTCTAGATACCCAACTTGTTGATTCCTCTCTTTGATACCTCAGAATGATCTTAAAACACTACTGAGCTATGATTTTTAAATCTCAAGAGTTCTTTCAATACGATGACGTCTCCTGTCTGCTCTACAATTTTCATATTCTGATATAGTCATATTCTTATTTTACTATATTGAATTTGCTGAATGCAGAGCTCACAAAAAACTCTCTTCCATTGCATCGTGGGAGAACAGCAAGAAAGCATCTGTGGAGGCTGAGTTGAAGAAGATTGAGGTAACAGCAACTCTTATGAGAGAATTGCAAAACGTTGGCTTGATTTCCCATATGTTCCCCTGAATGTTTAGTTGATGAATTACCGTAGTGTGAAACAATTCTCCATATTTTAAATGCTAAACAAATTATTCAGGTTGTTTAAAGGGTTCTAGTTGGTAAAATTTGTTTGACTTTCATATTGGTTTGACATCATTGAAAATAATTGCATGTGAGCAGGAAAAACTTGAGAAGAAAAAGGCAGAATATGTGGAGAAAATGAAGAACAAAATAGCAGTAATTCACAAGGAAGCAGAAGAAAAGAAAGCCATAGTCGAAGCCAAACGTGGGGAAGATCTTCTCAAGGCTGAAGAGATAGCTGCTAAATATCGTGCCTCTGGAACTACTCCAAAGAAGCTTTTTAAGATGTTTTTAGGCTAAGATTTCTCAGTTTTGATTGAAAATTGTATTATTTGTATAGTTGTTAAGCCTTCATTTGTTACCGTTTGTTTGTTTCTTTGCTGTTTCAATAGGGGAGAATTGGCAAGTGTTCGTTTATTCTGTGTGTCCACCATGTTGATGTATTTTCGTGTATAAAACATTTCAAGATATTGTTTGGAAATTAACTTCTTGAATTTGTGAGAAGCTTATGTGAATTATGAAGCAAATGGAAACTGTAGTATACGAGCAAATCACAGAGACAGAAGATGTGTGGTTCTGCTGTGTGCTTATGTTTATGGAGGAGAAAACCCTCAATTTATCAGAAAACTAAAGATCATGATTTATGTGACTGGGACCCAAATGAATAGAAAGTCTTGTTTTCTTGATAATTTCAGATTAGAGGAGTGGACCATGTTAGTTATGGCTCATCCAGAAGATGTTGCAGGTATGCTCCGCAGGCTGAGGGAAAATATCACATAATGATGATAAGAAAATCAAACAGAACTTCTACCACATGCACGAAATTACGGGTTCGAATCGCAGTCTATCCACAAGATCAAATATATCTAAAGATGAAAACTAGAAATAAAACTTATATTTAAGCTAATATGTTGTTCTATATACAAAAAAAAAAAAAAAACCCTTCATGTTCACCATAGAACTATCAGGATCACTTGGTAGCGTAGCAGAGCAGAGAAAAACATTCTCCGGTACTCCTTTGAAGAACTTTAGACCGCAAAAATTATTCTTCTATCCAACATTGTTTTGCATTGGACCCTATTTAAATTCTGAAAGGAGGGCACAGAGATGAAAACTAGAAACACGGTCACCTCTATTGCCTCTACTTTTTCAGAGATCAAGCAGAGAATTGTCAAACCAACCTGGTAACCTAGATAACCTATATACCAGAAATCAAGAGGCTAGAGAAGAGGTGCCCAAAAATCACCATCATCTCCTTTGAGTGATACCACAGTATGCAAAAGGCGAGAAGCAGTTTCAGTGGCAGCTAAAATCAAGGAAGTTGAAAAAACTCTGATTCTTCCCCTATGAATTCCATATCATTGCCTCCTGGGAAATCTAACAGTAGTTTCAATGCTGTATCTGTAGAATCAGCAAATTCATTGGAACCAATGGAATCTGAAACAGTCATCACATCTTCATTTGGCTTGCAAGTATCTTCTTGTTCCTGCGTGGTGTCGATGAAGGTAGTTGTTTTGAAAGGCTTTGGTGAAACCGTGTCATCGAGGAAAACAGATTCATTTTTAATCGATGGAGGTGTGTCAGATACAAGACTTTCACATGTTTTTCCATCTTTTTCCTCAATAATGCGAAATGTTTCTCCAACTTCAGATTTCCATAATTGGAGAAAGATATCAGGATGGCTCTTAGCTGTTGATGTTGGTTTAATAAGCAATGACTGCTTTGACAAACGGGCCTCAGCCTCAACTCTAGCACTCTCCCATTGTACCATGTGGCGTGCTGAAGGAGATTTACTCTTGATATTGATAGGTTCAGAAGAGGAGGATGACTGGTTGATCTGCAACTTTGGACCAATAGAAGTTAGGCGCTTCTTCAGGTGAGTGTTCCAGAAGTTTTTTATCTCATTGTCTGTTCTTCCTGGTAATTGAGATGCCATGTATGCCCACCTGAGAAGTAGTGCATTGAGTTTTTTTTTTTAAAAAAAAAAAACTTAGAAAGACCAAAAGATGTGGCATGGTTTATGTAAAACACGGAAAGCATACCTGATAAGAAAAGGATAAAAAAGCAATCCTAAACATTTGATCATCTTTTTATAATACTTTACTTTTGTGAGATGCTTATCAGAATCCAGCACTTTTTATCACTAAGAGAAAAAAGGTTGAACCATTCATACAAAATCCATAGATCAGTAACTCATCTTCTAAACAATTCGTGAATATCGGGAAGAATGAGAAGAAATCTTTGGTATCCCAAATCTGGCTTATCCCCGTATAAAGACCTTTCAACTGATACAGTTTTAGAGGGACTATAAAACAGAAAGCAAAATCTATGCAAAGATTAATTTCTTCATCCTAATGAACGTACTGACATGGGATACAAAAGTTCCTCTTCATGAAACAAAGTCCAAATTGAAGTTCAACAAATGAAAAGAAGTGCGTTAGAAAAAAAGCAGCAATTCAACAGACTGAGAGAAGTGTACTAGAAATATAGCAGGTGCAGCAGGACAATCTACGTGTAGCTATCCTCCAATGTCCAAACAAAAGATAATGCACAGGAAACATGAGAGCAAACTGCACATTACTTGTTACCGAGCATGCCATGAAGATGAACAACAGTAGCCTCTTCTGCAGGAGAGAAGGGACCACGTTTAATGTCAGGGCGAAGATAGTTAGTCCACCGAAGCCGACAGCTCTTCCCACATCGAAGGAGGCCTGATCATAATATTTTGTTCATGTTTAACACTTCAGGACATCAATGTCCAGAAACTTCGAGGAACTCAAAATCAGAAATTAAGAAGGAATTCCTAGTAGCAAAGCCAACTGGCATTTGATTATTATTAGATTTGTTTTTCACGTAATTAAGGTTCAACTATAAACTTATCTAAGTTGGGGCAGCTTATCCTCAAATATCTAACTTTGATTCATCAAAATTGTTTTGTGTTGAAGGCTAGCTAGTGGCTTTTGTACAATCGCAGGTCTTTTCACAACATACTTAAAGAGTTCCCAAGGAGATGCAAGGGTTAGAAAACTAGAGTGCAACACGTTTGACAAGAAAAAAATAAAAGAATAAAACCCCACATAAAAGATGGCAGGCAAGCCCAAAATCATTTCAAGGGTGATCACAATCCTCTTCTTTAACAAGTTGAAATAGCAGAAACACCCCAAGCATGATTCCAATCAACCAATAAACAGCAAGGCATAAACAACATGGCCTTTTGAATAATAGAGCATCGAGAAGGGCCATTTGCCTTCCAAAATCCAAGCCAAAGCCATTAAACATGTTCTTTTCTTCAAATTTTAACTTGGGTTCAATGAATTTTGAAACTATAAAGCTGGACATGCCAAAAAGAAAAAGAAACCTGCGTTCTTAGGGAGGCTACGCCAGCAACCAAGACCATGTTTTTGAATGTACTGAACCAAGAGTTGGTCTTCTTCAGGAGTCCAAGGTCCTTTCTTTACTCCATCTTTATCACAACAAGGTACCCTCCCCATCTTCTCTACAGTCAGGCTGAAAAACCCACAAAGCTCTCTTAGTTATAAGAGATATGATATGACACCATGACAGTCCTCCTTAAAGGTTGAGCCTTTAATGAGAAAAAAATCAACTGATGGGATTTGTCATCTGGGGTTTTTAATGCTTGAAACAAGCAATAGGGTCAGCCAGCATTTACTTTTACTAGACTCAATAAAAAGAGCTGACTGTCAAGTGCCAGGTTTCATCAAAGAGTTAAAGTATCTTCAGAACCTAAATTTGGAGAGAATAATGAGTCCCATACAAAGACATAGACACAGCTTTGCTGGTGGTCAACTTATTGACATGTAATGAGCTTTGCTGTAATTAACAACGAAAAGGGGCAAAGAAAACTTCACTTTGTGTGTGTTTTATTAAAAAAAAGAAACATTTTGACAACAAATGACTAATGGTTAAAGATTGAGGAGTGCAAGAAGAAATTGGTGAAGAAGTGAAAGGACATGCCTTTGCTATGATTCTGGACTGAAATGATAGCTTCTGAAAATGCTAAAACAAGACTTAAAGTAGCATTGTTTTACTCCAAGTTACTCTCTCATGCTCTTTCTGTGAGTCTTCTTCGACGGAAAGATTTTACAAGTTGATGAAAAAAAAATTATGTTTTTTCCCCTGTTAAATTAAATTAAAAATAGATAAAGTTTATAGTATAATTGAAGTTATATCTCATTTGATTTATTTATTTGGTAACACATTATCGATGATGGTGGTGGTGACCCAAATCTGTTATATTTATTGTTATGTAAATCTATGTAGTTTAAGTTATTTTTCATTACATTTATTTATTTATCAACACATTATCATTGATGATGGTGATCCAAATCTACATTATTGTGCCTAGGGCTTGAAATCCATAAAATCTAAGTTATTTTCATTTGGTTTATTCATTATCAACATATTATTACGATGATGGTGACCCAAATCCACTATCCACTATATGCATTGATGTGGCCAGGGTTTAAAATCCTTGATCAAATGGGTTTTTTTTAATCTTACAAGAGTTCATCGTTAGTGAGAGAGATGGAATTACCTTCGATAAACAATTCGATCCATTAATTTACAAAAAAATCTTAAGTTTGCTTATTTAAAATGGAAATGAATGGACTTTTTAAGTCAGTTTATGCTTGAATTAATATTAAATTGCTTTCTAAAACCATTTTAAGTATATATTTTCATATTAATATTTTAATTTAATAAACTAAAAAGACTCTAACCTTCATGATCACATCGTGAATACATCAGATCTTTTTATGATGTATGACATTTGTACACTTAATTTTACATTATCAAGTCTGTAAAATTGTATTTGATATAATATATCTATGTTATGAACAATTTAAATTTCACATGTGTTTATGTTTTTAGTGCATCACTCGTTGCTTTCGTTTAATCAAAATATCATTCATTTACACGAAATAATTTGTGAATTGAAACGTTAAATAACAAGAGTGCTGATGCTCTCATTTTTCTCTTCTTCTTCCTCTTGTTCTTCTTCTTTTTTTGGTTAATATATCTGGTGGCACATCTCAATCAATCTGCAGACATCAAGATCGTTAACAACAAGAATAGGAAGATTCACAAGAAATTACCATGGAAATCCCCCCCCCCTAAAAAAAAAAAGAAAAGAAGAAAAAAGAGTGAAGTATTCCTAAGGTTTTGTTTGATAATAGATCAATGGAGGTTGAAATCTGTACTTGTGAAATTTAAATTGGCTTGCTTTCATTTTTTGGAAAAGTTTATTCCTAAGGCGTCCATGTGATTTTGATTTTTCAGTAGTTTTGATTTTTTAAAATGAAAAATAAATAATAAATAATTTTTACATATTATTTAATAATTTTAATATACTAATATTAAAAATAAAAATATATTTTTCATTCTCAAACACATATAAAATAAAAATATATGAATCTCTTTGCTTGTAATGGACTTGCACGCATTGTAAATATATTTTTGAGACAAAATTCATGTTGAAAAGGTATTTTTAACCGCATTATTAAATACAAACAGTGAGTTTTATTTTAATGGGAGATCCATCTATATATATATATATATATATATATATATATTGCAGGCCAAATGTATTGTATCATAAGAATAGAATATTTAATCTGCCTCACGTTTTACGTGAAAAAATAAAAAATAAAATAAAATAATGGCCCAATGGACAGGGCCAGCTTCACATAATCATTGCCGAAAGGACTAAAATCATGGGCAATGGCGAACAAGATAAGGGACTCGTAGATGACTAACTGACAATTAAGGTAAAGAATTATTGTTAGAAAACAGTACATGTCTCGTGAAACCGAAAGCTTTTGACTTTTGTTAATAAGCTTGTGATTATCTCTGGAGATCAAGGTTTGTATATTAATCATGTCTTAGCCCCAGTTTAGTATCTCGTCTTAAATGAAGGTTGGGTAAATTTAAAAAAAATAATAATTTTTACATATTTTTAGGATAAGTGTTAATATAAAAAATAATTTTTAAAATATAAAAAATATTATTTTAATATATTTCTAAATAAAAAACATTTTAAAAAATAACTGTTATTATATTTTCAAATACTAATTTTTTACCCTTCATTGCTTAAATCTACTTTATTAATTTGTTGTTATTGTTAGTATGTATTTGCATTAATTAGTATGCAAGTGTATATTTAATTTCAGAATAGTTTTTAGGGTTGTAGTTTGAAAAATAAAAAAATAAAATTATATTTTCTCATCTTGAACTCAAGTTTTTGTCATAATAAAAAATAAAAAATAGGTATAAGTAATGAAAACAAATAACTCTTCATTTTATTTATTATTTTGAAATGTTAAAATTTTTTTAATTTTAAGAAAAAAAATTATTTTATATTTTTATTTTTATATCTTATTTACGCAGTTACGACTGCGTTTTAATTAAATCATAGATTTAAGTTGTTTGGTAAAGATAAAAATAAAATTTACTGTTCATGAGTCCCCTTACTGTATTTTTGGGTCGGAAACACAGGAAAAAAAGTATGTAATTCCTGTTTTTTGTGCAATTTTTATACTAATTGCATTGTTTATTGAACAGTGCAATTAACATGAACAATATAATATGTTATACTATTTTGGTAGGACTAGGTTCAGTTCAATACTCAACATGCATGAAAAAAATATTAATTTGAAGCAAAAAATAAAAATTATTTTAAATTTTTTAATTGTATTTTATTTAAAAAAATTAGTATTTAATATTATTAAATGACACTACATAAATTAAACAAAGATCTCTTGATAACGTAGCATTAGGAGAACTTGATCACAATTCCAATTTTGTTACTAATTATATTTTACCTGATATTGTTGTGAGCTTAAGAAACCAAAAAAATTATAGTTTTTATCAGATGTATTTCATATATGATGGAATTATAGATAGTTTAATATAAAAATAAAAAATATTTTATATGAAGTATTATTTATTTCATGATATAATAACAATAGTTAAATCTATAATATTTAAATTAAAAACCATCAACATTAATATATATTTTTAAAAAATATTTTATAACCTCAATTTTAAAAGTATTATTAATCAAACACATTAAACAACTTTTTTGTTTAATCTGAATTTCAACTATAATTTTAACTAAACATACAAAAATACTAAATTAATCTCAATTAAAAATATTTTTTATAAAATATTTTTTTTCAAATCACAATCACAACAGCTACTATAATACTAAACGCAAACATAAACTTACCTTTTAATTCTATTGAAAATCAATTAGGTACTATACTAGAGAAGAATCAAATGCTAGATCTTTTCTGTTATAAAAAAATAAATCACGTTTTTATTTTTATTTTTATTTCTTGAGACATCTCTTGATAAAAATAAAAAATAAAAATGCCTCTCGAATTGGCATGGCCATGGGGTCAAGGATGCTGCATTAGCAGAGAGGCTAAGCAAAAATCAGAGGGCCTCTTGCCATACGATACAAGCACGGAATCAAATTAAGTGACCATTGGGTTCTACAGCTCCTCCATTAATGAGCCTGCTTTGTGGAACGATTCATAAGTTAATGCCACTGTACTAGGGTTCATTTACAATTTATAATTTATTGGAATTCTTACAAGAGCTGCTGGATTCAGTAATTGGACTCCCAAGACACGTCAGATGCACTTATTTCCGGTCTCCTCCCCGGACTTGGGATGTGCTTGTTTAGTTTACTCGGTCAAATTATGTTTTTTTTTTATATAATTATTTTATAAAAAAGTTAGTTTTTAAATAAATTTAAAAATATATATTGTTTTGATATATTTTTAAATAAAAAATAAATTTTTTTAAAAAACATCAGTATAATACTAAGCACCATCTTAATAGCAATTCAAAATAGTGTTATAAAATCTAATCCAACTACAACTTAATAATTCATTATACAATCATGTTTTGTTTAAAATGATTTTTTTATTATATAATTAATTTTTGATGATCTTACTGCACGTGCTTCAATAAAAGAATGGTAGAAGAACCAATATCTAATTAAAATCTTATAGAAGATAGGAATTAATTTTGATGTCAATGACCATTTTAAAAGAGAATTCCATTATATGTGAATATGGGTAATGCAAATCTAATTTCTCCTATTTTAGCATTTGATTATTATTTTAAAATAAAAAAATAAACACTAAGATGGTGGAAAGACGTCACCGTTTTGAAATTATAAAAATTTATTTTAAAATTATGAAATAAATGAAAACGCTAACTAGAAAAGACTTCTATAGTGAGAAAAATACAATGGGTCGTAGGCATCTTCCACTCTTAAAAGTTGAAAATCTAAACATATCCAACATAAAAGCAATAAAGCAGAGAAAGAAATGAAAGATGTCGAAGAAAGGAAATGAATATTCTCTATATTTCCTAAAAAAAACCTTTCCCATCATCCCCATGTTTGCTTTTGCACGTCCAAAGGGAATAACTTCAACACCAAGTCTCACTGATCTACTTGCGGCCCTATAAAGGATCAGCTTAATTCATGTTCAGCCTCAACCCACAAAACCTGGTCTGCATACAAACCTAATTCGGTTCTTAATTTCTTGGGATGGTTAAGATAACAATAGTTGGAAGGGTGATTGATGGGCTGCCTCTTGCGCTAGGGCCTAGGTATGTGAATGAAGAGAATGATAATTTCTCATGTTACAAGCAGCAAGCTGAGTTCATACTCAAAGAAATCTCGAGAGGAGCCTTGATACCTTCCATGATGACCATTCGCATTGATCATCACTCTCTCAAGTATCCTTTTCCTTATCTTTATTTTTTAAAACAATAGTAATAATTAATAATTGCTTGATGATTAATTTCTTATAGATTTGTGCACATATGAGATTAATATAAGCATCGAGTGCATTTAATTGCTTCTTTAGAAAAATGGAAAGGATAACGTGAAAAAAACAGGGTTGGTTTTTTTTTTTTTATATATATATACATATTTGGGTTTTGAACTTTTTATGCTTGGAAATTAAGCTACTTGATTGGGAATGGTGTCTGCTTCATGACATTGTGCGATTCTTCATATCCAAGAAAGCTAGCTTTCCATTATCTACAAGACTTGCAACAGGAGTTTGAGAAATTGGACAATAGCCTAGTTGAGAAAATTACAAGACCATATAGTTTTATTAAATTCGGTAATCTCTGCAACCATACTCTCTTAGTTTGATGCTATATTTGCATGGAAAATTGGTGGATGGTGTTCTTGGTATGCACAGAAATTGCTTGCTATTATGCCGGCACTTCTTTATTTTTGCTTAGCAATCTCTATTCAAATTGGCTTGCAGATGGTGTTATTGGGAGTATTAGGAAGCAGTATATAGACACGAGAACTCAGGCTAATCTATCGAAGCTAAATGCGAATAGAAAAAAAGATTCAGAAATCATTACAGAGCACATATCAGAAATTCTGCAAAGAAAAAGAAATTCAGGTAAATTATTCTTATTTTATGTTACATTGATCATAAACCATGTTCACAAAAATAATCTTATGTATTCTGCTCTTCAATTGTCAGAAATCTCCGAAAGACTACCGGCAACGACTCCAAGAACAGCCTCTCCTGTCTGGGGTTCTCCCTTGCTAGAGGTGTGTTCGATTAATGAAGAGAAAATGTAGAATTAATAACTAAGAAAAATGGATTATGTTCTTCTCTTATATTTTCTTTTTATCCTATTTTTTCAGCAAAAAAACTTAAGGTTACCATTTTCTTTTATCAGAATCGTAACATATAATATGCTACCCCATCAGGTGATTGCACTGAAATGGACACCAATTACAACCATTGTTGCAGTTGCTGCTATCCTGTTATGGGCAAGCCTAGTTCTCACAGATAATTTTATCATCTAGAACTCATGAAAGAGTTCAAGCTATACCATGAAAAAAATAATCATCATCAGAAATCTTAGAGGACAGTGTCCGTTTATAAAATGATCCGTCAATGTCTGTAAATATTTTTTTTGCGGACAGAAAATTGTCTTGTGCTTGATTATGTAATGCTATGAATCATCATCTTCTATGTGAACTTGAACACTAATCAATGCGAGTCAGTACCTACTGAGGAATATTATATTCGTTCTAATCTCCAATGCACATTAATAAATCCCAGGATTAGGCGGAAAAACTTTGATTCCTCCTTTTACAGCCCTGCGCCTGTGCTGGCATAAGTGCCGGTATTGAATTTTTAGTTCTGAATTTATCAAAAGTCAACGGATATAAACCCTTTCAATAACATGGATTATTCTCTTCTTGCACGTTTTTGTTCATCTAATTTATTACTTGCATCAGCCCTAAACCCTTTTGAGTTTTTACTTTGTATCAAATGTTCAAGGTAAGGTTTTGTTACTGTTTAGAGACAGAAGAAACGAAGATAGAGGAGACATATCCATGTACCTCTTGGAACAGGGAGATCCAGAGGGATAGCTTGAGAAGTTTATGTCTTCTAACCAAACAGTTTTGTGTCTTTTTGTATATATACCTTCTATCTCGAGACACCAACTAAACAGAACTTGCATCATCAAGAGACAAGAAATTGACATATTCTTTATTCTTGAAACAATCAAGGTGCCTCCAAAAGCAACTCCATGGAAGAATAACCACAAACTCAACAATTGCTAAAGCCTATTACATTATCTACACGCCTGGTTTTGAGGAAAGAACTGGAAGGGGCCTTGCTAGTTACAAATTCATTTCCTGCAGGCTTCTTATTTGAGTATCAATCTTCTTCTTTTTTCTTCTTTTTTGTATAATCAGAAGTTATTCTTCCTTGCAGTTGCTTTTGGGAAGTAAGCCCTCATATGTACATCACATCACCAATATTACTCGAGTTGAATACCCTACATAAATCCTCTCCAGAGCTAAAATCAAACTCATTTCCTGGACTCTGGCTTTCAAATTTGAATTCTGAACTAAAAATGTCGCCGCTTGAACCATCGCTTGGAGAATTTTGATAGTCGCCACCAAATGCTCCTTCTTCCAGTAAGTAATCATGCATGAAACTAGTGTCTTGGAAGCTTGGATTATGATCGAATGTAATCTTTGAAACCACAGGCTCGCCTGAACTTGCAAAGCTGTCAAGTGAGAGCCACTCAGCAAACATAACCTTTGGTAATAATGAGCTTCTGTTAGGTTCTTTAAGAGAGTCAAACATCCATGGAAATACCGGCCGGTCAATATCAGTTGATGGTTTTTCCATATTCATTGATGATTCAGGACTTTGCATTTTAAGCCTTTTGGGACAGGGTGAAAGATCCATATCGTCTGAGTTTGAGCTGGCAGATTGAGTCTTATTAGGAGATTCCATTCCTTCAGTTTTGAACAGCTTTTTCTTCAAGTAGGAATGCCAATGGTTCTTTATCTCGTTGTCAGTTCTTCCAGGCAAATGCTGTGCAATTTGAGACCACCTAGTCATTCCAAAACAGATTGTCTCCATATATCAGTTCCTCTCTATGAATACAAAGAAAGGTAATAATGCAGTGGTTATGACAAATTCAGAAACACAAATCCTATGGTGCTTCAGCGCATTGAATTCAAGGATTTTATATGGAATCATATTCTAGTTTCCTTGCATCATTGTAAAGGTTTCAAACTACAAATTGACCTACAATGGTACGTTATCTGGTTATAAAAAAATCCCTGTCGAGTATCATCAAAACAAAACGTGGCTTGATTTGGTGGAGGCACTTGCCAGACAATTGAAAGAATACATGCTAGGCTCGCATCTTAGCAATAATCTATATTATCAGAATTTCTTGTAAATTTTTATTATTTGACCTAAAATGTCCATGATCATCCAAATCCTACTCTCCTACTTATTAATTCTCATTGATGGGGCATCCCACCTAATAGCAGAAAGGTGTTAAGAGTGGTCCTTACTTGTTGCCTAACATGCGATGAAGGGTCAGGATTGTCTCTTCTTCTTCTGTAGAAAACGCCCCTCTTTTCAGTCCTGGTCTCAAGTAATTAATCCATCTTAATCTGCAGCTCTTCCCAGTCCTCTGCAAGCCTGCATTAGTGCAATAATTACTTAACACTATCGCTTCATGATCAGGACCTTAAGAAAGTAAACTGACAAATGGCTTTTTAGTTATTTTAACGGTAGTTCATCATCATTCTTTTTCCCTTGAAACTTAGAGATTCTGCTACAAATGATGTTTTGATGATGCATGCAGTCATCTAAATTTATAAATAATTAACCAAAGTATGATCAGCCAACAGAATCAGCCAGTTGATGAGAAGCAGGTAACTCTTAAGCTTGGCTTTACTCAAGAACCGTGGAGACTTGTCATCAGTAACTCTGATGACTCTTCACTTACGGCTTGGCCATTTGTTTTAACAGAGAAAATTATTAAAAAATTAACTGTCAACAATCATCTTAAAATAACTCATCACAGAAACCATAACACAGACTCAACAATAAATTAAATTACTCCCACCAAAATGAAAATTCTGTCCAGCCCTTGAAAAGTTCTTGGTAATAATTCATCTAAGTTGGATAGCTCACGCTCAAGAAAAACGCAATGTTTCTGGAAATATAAGAACACATGAAACCTTTTTAGCAATGCTATCGGATACAACATAGCACACCTGTTTCTATGAAAAAAATCTTGAAAACTAATATTATTGCTATATATGAGAATAGCTAGGTGCTTAAAATCATCACAAAATTAAAAAAAAAATTATTACTAATTCCCATTCAAATTGAAGTACATTAGCAAAATGGCATGTTGGTTTGCAATGCACGAAACTGGTGAATAATGAGTGGAGGAAAATTACCAGCATTAATGGGGACGGAGCTCCAACATCCATGGCCATGTTGAAAGACATGGCTTCTAAGCCTTTGATCTTCTTCAGGTGACCACAAGCCTTTCCTGTGCCTTAGCTTTGGCTTTGGCTTGTCTGATGATTTGCACCCCATTTTGCCAAGAACACCGATGATGAGAAGGACTGGTGATTTGTACAAGAGAAAGAGAGTATTGGACTTTGTGATGGATGCAATGAATGCTTTGGCATATAAAGCAAAAGGATTAGTTGCAGTTTACTATATTAAAAATAGATTATAAACTATAAGCATGATTTGACGGGCCAGAGTTCTTAAAATATTTTATTTTTGTTTTGTTGGCTTTAATATTAGATACAAGTACGAATAAGTAATAAGGTACAAAATATTTCTAAAATAAAGAAGAAGTTATATATAAGATATTAAATGAGTATTTTAGGCCAATGATACAAAATGTCAAGGTATTATTCTTTTGAATTCTCTAATTTTATTATAGATACCGAATCAGAAAAATAAATTTAATCTCAATTCATAAAATTAATTCCATAATTACTTGAACAAGCTAAAATGGGCAAAGCATGTCTTCAATTGCGTGTAATGTTATTTTTAATTAAAAAAATAGCAGGTTGTGTAATTCACTTTTTAATTAAATAATTTTAAGAAGTTGTGATTTAAATATTTCTCGGATACTTGCATGAATGTTTATTTTTACATTACATGCAACCTGATTTTTAAATTAGTTCTTTGATATTTTTAAAATAATTTTTAATAATTTTGATGGGATAATATTAAAAATATATTATTTTAATATTTTTAATTGAAAAGCATGGCAGATGGGCCAGTACTTAATAATTAGATGGGGATGTCAGGTTTCCTGCGTCCTCCTATGCGACTGGTAATCAATTTAAAATAAATTACTGCTACTATTTTTTACCACCAGCAGTAAGCATAACCAGTAAGTAACTAAATCATAATTAATAGAGTTGAATTTTGAGAGATTGGCCAGACTGTCTATAATTAATCTCCTTCCTAACTCCTTGAATTCAAACATTAGGAATATGGAATGATGTATCCTTTTAACATTGTTTAAGAAGAGAACTTAGTCTAATCAGACACGTGAACTGCTTTTAAAATATCAAATACAAACAAACAGAGCACTGTAATAGGAATTCAAATTCTATATTGACTTCTAAAGAAAGGTAAATATTGGTCATTCTTGAGGCCATGGTATGAATTTTTGTTCTACATGTACATATATATAAAGATATACGAATCAATATTTAATATAAATTTATATTGTATATATCAATTTGTTGACGTAATATAAACTTGAACGTTTATGGTTATTGTAATGTTATTTTTTAGATTTACTTGATCTTTTATTTTTTGGTATTATGAATGAAAATAAACAAAGGAGAAAAGTTTTATTTTGTACGTATAATACTTTTTAAAATTATCTATATACACAGAGAGAGGAGAGAGGAAGAGACAATTATTATAGTTTATTATTATCTTTTATTTTAAACAGGAACAACTCTATCTTAAACATAATTCTTAGATCACTCTACCATCATAATATTATCCAAGCAAATTTAATATATGAATTTGATTCATCACATTCACATGTCTTAAAATTAATAACTATATAAATTTTTAATAATTCTGAAATTTATAAAATTTAAATTAATAATTTTTAAAAAACAAATTTAGGATCTAATTAATTGAACTAACCTCATTCTTAATTGGATTGGATTGAATTGCAATCAATTTAGCAATCCCTATTCATTGTATGAGTTTGTTTTACTATTTTAATCAGGTTCAATTGGCAAAATGAGCCAATTATACGGCAAATTTGCTAAAAGAAAAATTTCACAAAGGTTTGTCTGCGGAATTAAAACAAACAAAAGGAGTAAATTGGTTTGTTTCTCTGTGAAAAATGAAATATTGGCCTAATTCTAATTGGTGTGTTTGGGAAACCTTTTACTTTGGTTTTTTTGTGCTTCTCAGAATTTACTTGAAAAAACTTCAATTTTTTTAGTGTTTTTAATGATTTTATTGTGAAAACAATCTGAAAAAAAATATTTTATTGAATTTTCAAATAAAAAATTATTTTAAAAAGCACCCTACAATAAATCTCGAACACACATTTAGTTATAAAGAAAAAGAGAAGAAATTCACATTTAGTTTTTTTTTTAAAAAAAAAAAAGAGAGAAGAAAGTCTGAAGTCATTTTATGGCAGCTCACGCGAACTATCTCAGAATCTGAGAAATTGCATGCGAGCAGTAATACATAAGGTGACTGTGTTGTACAAGACAACAGTTAGATTAGTATCTATAAGTGAGGTTAAAGCATAGTTAAGAAAGTAGGCATGCACGCTAAATTAACTGTTTTAAGATACGGGACATGGATCAATCAGGTTGTTTTAAATAGATGTTTTTGTTTAAAAAAATCTCTCAAACAAATATTATTTTAGCTGTTTTTTAATAAAAAAATTCATGTTAAACAGTGATCTAGATCTTAGGGGCTTGAATCAATGAATTACCTCGTTAATTTAAAAAAATATTAAAATATTTTTTTAAATATTAAAATATTTCTTAAAAAATATTTCTTTTATATTTGACATCACACGTCTAAATTGTATAATAATAGTACCAAAAAAATAATTCATTTAATAGTTTTTGAAGCAAAATATTTTATTAAAACATATCCAAACATAATTTCAACCATAGCGGGGTCAGGTTACATAAAAGTGGGCTAAACTCACAAAAATGTCAAGATTAAAATCGTTTTCTAAGAGCCCACTTTATTAATAACGAATTGGAAGCCGCCATATTTGCTAACCTGCTGTGAAGAAGAGAAAAATAAACTATGTTTACTGTTCTTCAGTTCTTCTTTATATATATATATATATATATATATAAACGAGAGGGATATTATCAATCGAAGAAATTTAGCCACCAAGATGGTGACTAACAAGATGAAGTACAAGGGAAGTTTACTGTTCATGTATAGACTTGGAAGCAGCCATGTTTACTGTAAACATGGTGGTCTATTTTGACTGCAAACATGGCTGCTTCCAAGCAATTGTTAAGCAAGTGGGTTCTTTAAAAGCGATTTTAATCTGGATATTTTTATGAATTTAACTATATATATATAATGATAGATTCAACCAGATTTGGTAAAACACGTGACATCTTTTATGTTCTTGAACAATTGAGAGTATCTGTTCAATTTATATTGGAACCAAAACTCAAGGATATTTTTAATTTGTTGATTAAACTAATCATATAAGATTTATTCTATAAAACACATGGTGCAGCGGTTTTGACAAATATGGTTATAGATCTGCCACAACTATACAACGTAGATAGCCCAGCAAAGTTATTTATAAACCGATAAAACATGATTTAAGTTCAAGAAAAGGCTTGGATTGCGTTCAGTAACCAGCCTGATTTATAAAAAAAACCCGTGCTGGTTATGTTTCTTGTCTAGGTTCAGCCATGTCAAGAACTAAAAACCAAAAGCATAAACTATGTTTAATCCTATTATTCTTTCCACCTAGTAGCTGTAAACAAAGTTTTTAGACTTTTTTAATCTGTGTCCCCGAAGATTGATGGCCATAGGCTACAATGGGATACCTAGCATCACTGATGCAAAAGTATAATGACACTTGCATTTGTTCGTATACTTAGCAGCAAGGGGACACCATAAAAAAAATGTGCAAGCCAAGTCATCAAACTAGTAAGGAGCCAGGAGACAATTTCCCATGAAGCGAAAGGAAAAATAATTCTTACACATTACTATTTTTCTTACAATAAACTCAGGAAATTATATTTTAACTTAGTATTGAAAATTAGAGTTAAACTAATTTCCAGTATTTTGTAGTCAAATCTATTTTTTTAATATAATATAAAAATTCAAGTTATAAAAAATTATTTAATATTATTATCAAGCTTTATCTAGCCAACTTTAAAATTTTTTAATTCAATTAAAATTAAACTATGTAAAAATTATTAGTTATTACGTAATCTAATTAACTTAAATAGTTTAAAAATAACCCGATTAACATGTAAATAGAGTTTGAGAATAAAGTTAATAAAAAAAATATAATATTGACAAAAAAAAATTCAATTTATTATCTAACTTATATTTAAAACTAAATAATATGAGAGTTTTTCTAATATAATTTAATTTACTTGACTTGACTTGTTAAAAATATAAATAATTATTAAAAGAATGATGAGAAGCTTCCCTGTTATTATTTAGTATAGTATAGAAGGTAATTAATTACAACAATTATTCCAACCTTTTAATTTCATAATCCAATGAATAATATATACGTTTACCAAATAGAATTTCGGAACAAAACAATATTTTATTTAATAAAAGAGAGAGAGAGAACATGACCTAATCACCGACAGGTTTAACATCAACATTGATTAGGAGTCTATTGAAGAACCATGATATTTATTAAGAATAAACAAAAAGAGCAAATCCATGTGCAATCTTGGTAGCTAAAACCTTGACTCTTCAAATCAAAATCGGCATAAACCTTTGGCCTGCCAAAGAGAAAGAACGTAGAAAACCAAATGCTAGTGGGATTGGGGACAGCAATAAACAAACACTAACGTGCCTTGTAATTACATGTTACATTATTGATATGGGAAAAGTTCTTTGAGGAGCTGAGTCAATAATTTTCTTATAATGAAAATAATCGATAACTTGTTGAGATTGCCAAAGAAGATCATTGGTTTATCATATGTTAATAGTTGGCCTTCTCTCGACGTTCATCACTAATTATTTTATGAGACTTAATTAATTAGAGCTAAAAAAATCGAAAAACACTGTCTTAATTGGATGCATTTACAGATTTTATGTTTTTACTAATTAAAAAAATTGGATGCATGGAATATTATTCACAAATATAAAATAAATGGATCAAAATTCGACATCTTATTAAGCTTCTGTCTGGATAATTAATTGTGCTATATAGTTATGTCAACCTATAATCCTATTGGTCTTTGAGGAATTCTTTTTAAAACGAGACTTCCTACCAATTACAGATTGATTGATAATATTGTAAAATATAGCTTGAGTTAGGAATCTCTTACGTGTAGGGATCTCCTATTTGATAAATGGCCATGAGAATTTGAGATGTTTTATAAAGTTTTCTGATTGCTCGTGCCAAAATATATGAACAGTTAAATAACTCCAACATCCTTCTCCTTCCTCTTCTTATGAATTTTGTTTTTTTTTTTTTTATCCTTCTCCTTCCTCTTCTTATGAATTTTTTTTTTTTTTTAAAATGTAGAAGATGAGTGAGATTAATATATAAAATGAATTAATGAGATTATTTTGCTGTTAAATTTTATTGCCATGTGGGTTATTGAGAAAAAAAATGATGAAATCATTTATTAATTAATGGTGTCGATTACACTGGATTAATGTTAAGAGAGATCGGCTTCACTTGTACAAGAACATGAAATTATGGGTGATTTACCAATGTTACATCTTGTACGAATCTTTAACTCTACTATTTGGATCAAAACGAATCATCTTTCACTAGGAGGATTAGTTAATTTGACAGAATTTTAATTTTAAAAGTATCAATTGCTTTTTAAATTTTGTTATTAACGCTCACAATAGCTAACATCTCTAGGGAAAAAAAGGCCATTCGTCGGATAATATATATATATATATATCTATGTTATATACGAGAATTTCCCTTAAGAGAGTTGTCTTGTACACGTATAAATATGCATGTAAAATCCTACCTATGTATATAACGACATATACCATTTTGTTATTTTTTTATTTATTTCAATCTAAAAACAGCTACGTCTTTTCATTTCTCAAGTCCCGGTTTAAATATTCCATGATTTGTGCAAACATTATAAAGTTTTTTAATTGAAATAAATAACTTTTTTTAAAAAAAATTCCCATCTTTTTCCATCACCCCATTTATTAACAATTAATTATATGATTTGTCTGCTAATATGTCCTCCGCAGCCAAACTGGCTTGCTGCCGTGTGTTCTTTCTTTCTACAGAAAGAAAAATATATTTACCAAAACAAAATATAAAGGCATTCTTTTCACAAACTACGTACTTTGTATCAAAACCTCCAAGAATATCTACATTAATCATCAGAAACCATAAATAATTTATTTGTATCAATAAACGTACAAAAGGTATATATTTTAATTAGTTTTTCCAGTCGTACACTACGTATACACATTTATGCCCTCTAAGATTAAGAATTAATTTAAAGATTAGACTTTAATTACGTATAGCTTGCAACAACGTACAATCATATTCTCTTTGGTGACACTTCTTAATTATATATCAATCCTTCTTCCAGACCATCGGCATGCTTCTCTTCCACATAACATGTACGTACGTACGTATATATCCTTTTAAGTGATGCTGCTAATTAAGACTTGTCTTTCAATTTCTTAAATCCAAATCAATATAACGATGGTTAAAGTATAATCATAAGATGATAGTGGGACTAATGAACTATTAAAATACTTGTATGAAAAGCCGTCTGCTCAATAGAGAGGTACAATGTGTTAGGATCTCATTTGATTAATTTTGGATTACTTAATTAACACTAATAAATCATACGTCGGTCGTCTTGATTAACCAATGACCCTTTAATTTTATATTTAAACAAGAAAAACACATTAATTTAGACATGAGGTGTGAGGCAACGAGTAGGAAATTAAAACCGTTAGGCAATTTGACATTTAAAATTGTACGTAGTCACTGATTTGAAGTCAGCACAATGTTAAGTAATCAAGCTGATGATGCAATAACCTCAGTTGTCTTTGATTGTTCGTCTTTATTCTCTGAGATAAAAAGTTGTATATTAACTTTAAAAGGATGGTTTAACGGTGTATAAATTTAATAACTTTTTCTGATATAAGTTGATTTGATAATATTTTTTATTATGTAATAGAAATATTTGAAATTAGATATCAAATTTAAAAACACACAACAACAACAATAATAATAAAAAAAAAAGAAGAAGAAGAAGAAAACCCTACCTAGCCACAACAACAACAATAATAATAAAGAAAAACCCTACCTAGCAGCCTCCTCCTCCCCACTGTCTCTCGTGCTCACAACGACCTTCACCTTTCTTCGGTTTTCTAGACGGCTGCCGGTGAGAATCATTTGCGGCAGCTCTTCTTGATTATTTATTGATCTTTTGTAGTAGGAGGAACTCCACATTTTTTGGAGCACTACCAAGATTTTAGCTCAAGATTAATAAGGTGAAAATCTGATGCCCTTAATTTCACCTATGGGATGCTCAGCTCAAAGTGGTTGGTACGTATCCTTTTAAATATTGAGAGGAAGAGAGGTATTGGTTCAAGTTCAACTCTTATCCTTAAATTTTATATCTATTGAGAGTTTTTTTCTTCTAATTATTAATGACTTTCTAGCCATGAATTAATTAGGTGGTGATGATCATTGATGCGATTATGTAAAGAATAATCTCTAATTTTACTCAAAAATAACTTACTTAAAAGAAAAAAAAATCTCATTTTAGATACATGCATTGCAATACTGGGGATCACATGAGTATTTTTTTTCTTTACTATTAATTACTCTTATTTTTTATTAAAAACAAAAAAAAAATGTTCACACTAAAATGAATTGATGATCAAATTAACAAGCTGAAACACACAATCTAATTATGAAGTCAAGATCTAGAATGTCAACTTCTGTGATATCATATATAAAGTTAAAGGCCAGCAATCATTATATATGTTATAATCACATTTTAAGCTCCTAAGCCTAAGAATGATTATAATTAAGCATCTTTCCGAATTGGCTGCATTGTGTGTTCTACTTAATTAAATCTTTAAGCAGCCATCCATGTTTTAATTGGCTGCACTGTGTGTTTTACTCAATTTCCCATCGCTGAATATCTCAATGGCATTCATTCATCAAAGAAAAAAACTAATTAATTAATTAATCAATAAAGGCCTCCAATCAATGTTGCATCAACTATATTGATTAATAGACTTTGAATTCTAAATTGTCGAATCTGAAGCTACAGTGCTGGCAAATCTACCTGTTCTTGGCCAAGTGTATGCTTACAATATATATATATATATATATAGTTGCTGTAAAAAACAAAAGGTATATATATGTATGACATATACATATGATTGAATTGATCACTAGGATCCCTTGAAACTTTCGAAAGCATGATGTTGATAGACAGAGATGAGCCAAACGTCCTTCCCAATTATCAAGTTGCCATGTTGATGTTGATAGCAATTTATTTCACAATTATAATTAGCATAGTAATTAACATGTTGTTATCAAGTTGGGGGAGGAGATGTAGTAAATCCCTGCAAAAAGAAAACTGCGCGTAGAACCTCCTGAAAAAATTTGAGTCTCATCCAAGAATTCAATCTTTTGTTATCATGATTTTTGACAGCTTGATATATAATAGCCTTGATATATGACGTGTCATCCAAAAAACAGATCTATTTTTGTATTATTTTTAGAGATTAAATTTTATTTGGGGGTTCAATTCTGAACACTAAAAATGACTTTGAATATGAGATTTAATTAAAATATATAAATTTAATTTAATTTAGAGGATTCCAAAAATGCTGTAAATTAAGGAGAATGTTAAATTTGAAAAATTAATTGTTAACTAGTCGAATATTATAGAGAGAGTTTGTAACTAATTATGGTCAATGAATTGATGGAATAACTTAAGAAAAATAATCCCACTCCTTTAATGACAATAATTAATTAATCAATCACTAATTAAAGACTTGCAAGCAATACATCAACAAATATTTATTTAATAGACCTTTTGATTTTTCATCGTCGATGGCTGGTATGCTCTCATGCCGACAAAATTAACTAACCTCTTCCAACCATTGCTTCTTCAGACCTTAGACTAAAAATATTTTATGCCAATATATATATATTCTTATACATTAATAGCATTGACTAGGATCCCTGTGCCCTGGAACATTAGGTTAGAATGATGTTTCATTGCAAGTGTCACTGTGGAGTTGAATTTTTTATGTTTTATTTTAAAAAAGGAATAATCTTGAGCCAAACATTCACATTGTAATTCGTAGCTGTTCAAGTTGGGATGGAAGATTTTGCTATAAATCTCTGAGGACTTTGATAAATTCTATTCCTTTTTTGAGGCAGGTTTGGACTTTGGGGTTGGATTTTTGGAACAAGAATATTATTGTGATTCCTGATAATATTTGTTTCAATACCTTTTTTTCGTGATTAATTGGTTGTGTTCTCAAGAATAATTCAATTAATATTGTTTTATTATATTGAGATTATGATTATTTAAATCTTAGTAGTTATTTTTTTTATTATTGTGGAAAATGAAATTTAAAATATTATATGAACTATTAATTATTTTTTATCATGCTTTGATTTTTATGCTTTATTGTTAATATACCATCATTGTAAAACAAAATTATATTCTATTAATAAACAAAATTGCATTCTCAACTCACATTAATATCAATGAATAAAATAGAATTGCAATCTTAAATTAATTTTTTTTATTTAATATACTATCTCGAATTGAAATTAATTTTTTTATATAGTTTTAAAATTTAATTTAGAATTTAATTCAAAATAAATCTTAAATTACAAGTCAGGAAAGTTGATAAAAAAATTAAAACAAAATTGTGTTGATAAAAAAAAATTCTTAAAAACCAATGCCCATCATATCGAATAATTGGAAGATAAGTAATAACTCGCAAGTAATAAAATCACAGACCCCACGATCAAAGCTCCCGCCTTCTTAAGAATTCAAAAATCTGTGACTTACAGCATTTATGCCTTGTAACTTAGAACTAAAAATCTCAAAAACACTGCCAAAATGCACATTCCAACATCTGAAACAAATCCATGCCTTGATAATCACTTGTTCTCTCTCCAAAAACATCAAAATATTCTCCAAATTTCTTCGTCGAACCACCGAGTTCGGCAGAATGGATTATTCCAATCTAATATTCTCTCAAATGGGTCATGATTCCAGTGCAGAAATCGTGATTTGGAATGCCATGATCAGAGGGTATGCGTTCAATGGTCCTTTTCAGGAATGTATACAGATGTTCGACGAAATGCCTCAGAGAGGACTAAAGCCGCACAACTTCACGTATCCTTATGTAATCAACTCTTGTTGTGAATTGGAGTGGTATGGAAGGGGAAAGAGGGTGCATTGCGAGATTGTAAAGTCTGGATTTGAGTCGAGCTACGCGGTTGCCAATTCTCTATTTAACATGTATTTGAAAATGCCGGCGTCTTTTGACGTGGGTTTGGCTAGTAATTGCAAGTTAGATGATGCTCGTAAGATTTTTGATGATATATGTGTAAGACCGGTAGAATTATGGAATCAAATGATAGGTAAGTACGTAAACATTGGTGATGTCAAGTCAGCAAGAGAGTTGTTTGATAGTATGCCTGAAAGAGATGTTGTTTCTTGGAATTCTATGATTTTAGGTTATGCCAAAGCTGGAAAAGTCGCAAACGCGAGAGGTTTGTTTGAGAAAATGCCAGAGAAGAATGTTATTTCATGGACTTCGATGATTGGAGCATATGCCGGTACAGACGATCTTGAAACAGCTAGAAGCTTTTTTGAGACAATGCCACAGAGGAATGTGGTTTCGTGGAATTCAATGATTTCAAGTTATGCTAAACACGGGAAATTCGTAGAAAGTTTGAATCTTTTTCTCCAAATGCAATCAGAAGGAGTGACCCCAGATGGCTATACTTTCGTTTCTGTTCTGTCAGCGTGTTCTCATTTAGGTGATTTGGAGTTTGGGAAATATATACACTATCTAATTGGAGATTTGTCTCAATCGGAAGTCATGGTAGGGACTGCTCTTACAGAAATGTATGCTCAATGTGGAGATGTAGATAAAGCTTTTGCAGTTTTTATCAAGATAGGAAAGAGGGATGTTTTTTGCTGGAATGTCATTATCAAGGCATTAGCTCTACATGGAAGATCAGAGGAGGCTATCAAAATCTTCTTACTGATGGGAAAGACCAGACTGAAGCCAAACGATTTCACGTTTACTAGCGCTTTGTTTGCTTGCAGCCATGGAGGTTTGGTGGAAGAAGGCCACATAATCTTTAATAGCATGGAGAAAGATTACAAGATAATTCCAAAGATTACACATTACGGTTGCTTAATTGACATGCTTTGCCGGAATGGCCAGCTTGAGGAAGCGATGCATTTGGTGGAAGATATGCCCTTTAAACCTGATGTTGCTATATGGGGAGCCTTGCTTGGGGGTTGTAGACTTACAGGTGACTTGAAGTTGGCAGAAAAGGTGTTAGAGAAAGCTACTGAGATGGAAACAAATGAATCGGGAGTCTATGTGCTGTTGTCAAATATCCATGCCTCCGCAGGTCAGTGGATAGAGGCTGCAGATGCAAGAAAAACGATGGATGAGAAGAAAATATCGAAGAAGGCAGGTAGCAGTGTTGTTTAGGATATAAGATGTATCCATGTATATTGAGAAATCACAAACAAAATATACAGGTGTCTTAGAACACAAACTTTTAAAAAATACTACCTTTTCCCATTCTAATAAAATATTTACATTGTCCGCATTTTGGAACCACTACCTTTTCCCATTCTAATAAAATATTTGCATTGTCCGCATTTTGGAACCAAGCAACCCCATAAGATTGCAAATCACATGCAAGATTTGTAATACAAAGTTTTCTACGGAAGAAAATTAAGATCTCCCATTCTTCCTTGATCCAATAAACCCCCCCCCCCCCGGCTTACAAGTTACAGTTACAATCATGTATGAGAAAATCACAAATATTACACCAAAATGTTATGTTGCCAATAGCCTCCACTAATTGCGGACTATCATAAAGGTGTATCCTGTGAGCAAATTTCAAGTAGTAGTAATCATGTTGAACTGGAATCTTGAAAGCTGTTGAGGAATGGTCGAAATGACTGGCCCATATCTCTGCACCAAGTAAGTAACACATTGTAAGAAGAAATACCAGAAAATCATTGGTCTACAAAGCATAGTAGAATCTTGAGTGGTTTTCAAGAAACCTGACTAGGGAAATGCGAGGAGGAAATCAGTTTTGCCAATCTTAAAAGCAGCAGATTATAGGGGTTTACAGTAGGGAAGGTTGGTGGACAAAATAAAAGCAAGAAATAAAAATCAGACAGTCTGCCCTTGGTGTATCTTCATGATGTATCCACCAAACTAGCAGTTTATATATACATACAACTCATTGAAGCTAATGCCTCAGTTTTCCCAATCAGTTGAACCACTACCTCTTCATTCAGGAATAGTTCAGCTTTCATGCATAACAAAGTTAAAGCTAAGAAAATATAGCATCCAAAACCATAAATACATCTCAGGCAATTGCAAAATCAGATCAAACTCCAAACGTAATCGATCAACAGAAAACTAAATGTGATCATACCTGCACATTATCATAGAGCTCAAACAATGGCACAGCAAGCAATTTCAGATTTTTCGGCACTGCAAAGTACTCTCTTTCAGATAAGTGAACAAGGTAAAGTTTCTTGCATTCCTGCATTACAAAGATTGGAGAAAGAAATGGATAATCATAGCCTGCCAGCTATATGACGGAAAAAGAAAAGGAAAGATCCACATAAGCAAAGAACACGAGTCACCTTGGGCTTTGTTATGTGTGGAGGGCAATATGGATACATAATGGTTTCAAAGTTTGGCCTCCACCAGATAGCCACACATTCACCAATCTGCAAGCAAATGACACATGGCCAAAATATGGACCAGAAAAGTCCTACAATCCAATGAACCCAAGAAGAAGGAAGACGATGCCCTCTGAGGCACCAACAACTTCTTCCAAAATATCCAGTTCCAACAAAAGTTCTAACCTCATGAAATTCAGGGAACAAAATGCAACTTATCACAAAAACATGCATTAAGCAGACCTCAGTTGCTAATAAACCTACAAAGGATTTATGGTATTAAGATGTGCTGTCACAAGATTGAAAATTTAGATACAGGAGAATCTGATGCTTTGTACATGGCCTTCATCTTTTCCACTCTATTCCAATCATATTCACCTTTTTTCTTTTTCTTTTTTGATAGAATCCAATAATATTCCCCTGAAAACACCTATAAATATCTGTTTCTTAAAATTGTCTTCATGAGTTCACACTACGTGAAGATAGCCAAAAAAGAGGTTACCTGCCAGTCTGGCACAAGAGCAGGTGAGTTAGCCCCAAGTTTGCTTGTCAGCTTTCTTTTCAAACCCTCAATTTCTGTTACATAAGCATGGGGAAAATAAGAAACAGAAAATCTCCCAAACAGTGATATAGAAAGAGCTGATTCCACTACAAACATAACGAAGAAAGATATATAATGAAATTGAAAGATAATACATAGAGAAGAGGAAAAATATACCATTCTCTCCAGGCTTCAAACGCCCACCAGGAAGTTTGCAGAATGTGTTTCCAATTTGCAGAAGAAGTATGTGAGGATGATTGTGTTCCTGTACCTATAAAATAACATATTGCACCAAGAGACAGATCATAAGAATGAGAAAAGAGATGTATGGAGATATCATGGACAAGACCATGGCCGTTAAGTCCAATAAGTACAAGATCACAGACCAGACATGGAGGAGTTACATGGAAGTTATGAAAAAATAAGTTGCTACAGCATACAGAACAGCTATATAAGACATGACTGAACACATGTTCTACGTAGATGAAATTCTTAAGGATATTGGATAGAAAACATTTTTCAAAATATAAACTTTCTCGAGTTGAATTACGAATCAACATCATCCACTGAAAATGAAGAGACTGAGGTATCCCAGAGGCAAATTATACTATCATGATTTACTCCACATGGTATGAAACAGACGTTTATCTATACAAACTGTTCCCAAGATTACCTTATTTTTCCAGAAGGCATTCAAGTTGTCAAGAACATGAGCATATTGTTCAGCAATCACATAGAGAGTGATCATTAAGAATACGTCATCATTCAAGTTCATCCTTGCATAAACAAAACCAAATATTAAAGAATACCACCTCTAAGACAGCCAACCATGTAATTCGAGATCTGTTTCAATGTACATCCCATGATCAATGTAAAACATGACGCCAAATACATACAACCCACAAGTTCTTTTTAGCTTAGAAAGCAATACTAAGCACTCCTATACTAAATTGCCAACCAGTGTCAATGTTAAATTTATTATCTCATAATCACAATCATCTTCATTTCGCAATAATTCAACAATTAAACACACATTTCAAGCACAAAAAGATAGTTAGAACAAAAGATAAAACAAAAGCATTACCAGCAAAATAGCTTCCACACTTGTCCTCATCCCCTCTTTCATATAACTGTCATTAAAAACCCACAAAATATCAACATAAGAGAACCAAACTTTCCATCTAGGGTTTCACTAAAGAATCTAGGATTAACTAGAGTTTTTTTGTTCATTCCCAGAAATTGAACCACCAAAACACATAGAGAAACAAAAAGAACAAAAGGGGTAGTGTATTTTTACTTTACTTTCATGCGAGCAAGTCGATCAGCAACAGAAGTGTCTTTCTCCATCTTGGGCTCTTTAGTACCAAATGTGTAGCTTGATAAAGGGTATGTATTCACCACAGCTGACCCTGCCCCTACCATCTCTCTCTTTCCCTCTGCTTATAACCCAATTTCTTCTTCCTTTTTACTGATAAAAGCTTTTGGCTTTGGTGTTTCTTTGTGAGTTGAAGCTGTGTTTTCTAGTGTTTCCCTTTCTAAACATCCTTTTCAGCTAGAAATGAAGAGCAGAGGAAGGGGAGGGAGATTAGAGAGGAACATTGATATTTAATTTGGTGTTAATTTTGGGTTAATTAGTATTATGGTTTGCTAATTACTGCTTAGATGGTATTGGGTTGGGTCCATGAATTGTTGCTCCAAATGCTTAGCCAAGACCAGTACTACTTTGAGAGTTTTTTTACTAGGCCCGTTGTTAATGGATGGAAAATAAAACAAAAGAAAAGGTAAAAAGAAAAAAAATATATGTCTCCAAATATTTGTCCCAATAGCATTTTTATATGAGAAACTAGAGTCAGAAAAAAGAAAAAGATACAACTTTTTGCTAAAACATAATATTTCTTCATCTAAAAATCAATTTTCCAAATTTACATCAATTTTTAAAAATATATTTTAGAGATTCTCCATAGTTTTTTAATACATGTTTTCTCTCTCTTTTTTTATTGAAGAATTACACGAATAATATAATTTTTTTTCTTTTATATAGAGTTTATATAACAATGTAAGAAATTAAAACTATATATATATATATATTTGATCTCTAGTTTAAAGAGAAGAGAAAAAGGATTGTTAGATTTTGACGTTAGAGAGAAACATGTTATTAACATCGACTTAGACCACTAAAATAAGAGATATTTATGTTAAATTATTCTATTTTATGAGGAGTTTATATTAGGTATTTTTATACCTTAAAAATACATGAAAAAATATATATGAGCTCAAGTTTATTTTTGGTTTCAAGTTGAATTTAGTTTTTAAGTGGTTTTTTGAGTTTTTTAGGTAATGCATAGATTTGTCATGGTTTCCAAGATGTTTTATAGATATTTTAGGTCAAAAACGAGTTAAAAATTAGATTTTTGAATCTTAAAAACATAGTCTTTGATTTTATAGCCACTACAATGGTTAGAATATGAAAAAAATAGGTGGAACACCGAATGTATTTTATTTTTAAAAGGAAACGGATAACATGTCGCTCATTTTTAGCGCAAATTACAAAAAAGAGCTTGGTCATATGGAGCCTGGTGAAAAGGGCTAGGCTCAGCAGCGCTTGAATTTTTTTTTTATTAAAAAAACGCTTGGTCATATGGAGCCTGGTGAAAAGGGTCAGGTTCAGCAGCGCTTGAATTTGTTTTTTATTAATGTCTTTTTATTAAAAAAATTTAATATATATTTAGATTAAAAGAATATAGATCTTCATTTTTCAGCCATCAAAATAATAAAAATCTAGATAAAACAAATAAGTGTCATCTATTTTTTTTTTTAAGGAGCAAACGACATGGTAAAATTTAAAAACAAGAGCCTTGCATATGAGTCCTGGTGAATAGGCCAGGTAAGCTGGCATGACTTGTCAAGTCCAATAATGCTTAATCTTTTTTTTTTAATTTTTTTAATTGACGTTTTGTTTTGAAAAAATAAACTTAATTATATTTACATTAATATTTTTTTTCTCTTTTATTTTGTTTAGAGAGCCCTCTTTTAAGTAATAATGATTTTTTAGTTATGTGTTTGATTGTCAATAAAGTTTTTCTAATTTATCTATTATTTCTTTTTTGTTTTATTTTTCGTATAGATAAACTATATTTTTAAAAATAACAAATATTTATTTTCAGATGATATTTTTTATACATGTATCTTTCCATGTTATTTTTTTCTTTTATTTTATCCAGTTAATTTAATATATATTTGTTTATTTTTATTATTGTTTAATTAATTAGCAAACATGATAAGATAAATGTTATATTTTTTAAGATTAAATGTCTGTATTCATATATTTTTCAAGTTTTGTTTGTTGTAGTTTATTTAATTACATTTGTGTATAAACCTATATAAATAGTTGATCAGCGGCAAATAAAGGTTATGTGTGTATCAACCTCTATAAATAGTTGGTTTGTGTGTGCGTGTGTGTTTGCAATATTTGTGACTGTCTTTTATTGCTTGAAATGTACTTTTTTTTCACCATGGATAAGAAACATGGGACAGAACTGATCACCAATGAGAAAAGGTGTGTAGTATCTGTAATGGCAGGACATTATCCATGCACGTCTAACTACAATTCAAGATAGAACATTTCTAATTTGAATGCTTATCTTCTTCCTTCCTTCTCAAAAACTCCTATCTCGAGGCACCATGTATCATCGCATGACTCGGTGCAAATTAAAATCGATTGGTGATGCATCATAGGATCATGGGTAAAACAATATTGATCAAAACTCGACAGAAATACTGTTTTAATTCTATGTGAGTTAATTCTCTAACCAAATGTCTAATGATCAGTAGACAGATCAGTACCAGAAGAACTCTTCTTGTCGACGTCTAGCTAGCTATGACTTCCTTTTGCCTTGAAAGACTTGCAAGTCCCCATTTGATCCTCCTGCCACAAGCGTGCACTGGTCTTCCTCCGCTTGCCTCCAGCACACACTGTTCACGAAACCACCGCCAAACCCATCCCTACCCAATGGGTTAGACTCGTGAACCCATATTGGCTCGCCCCATCTTCTGTCATACACAAAAACCTTATTGTTTTCTGATCCACACCCTAATAAGCCTCCATTCCTCCACACGGACAATCCGATGAAGCTCCGGCTGTTGACGTGCCCCTTATATGAGCGGATTAGGTTTGAATTATCCGAATCCCATAGCTTCAAGCATCCATCAATGCTAGCAGACACTAATGTAACATTATCGAGAAATTTAATATACGTCACGGTCTTCCTATGCCCATCAAGAACAAAGACCGGGTCCACCGTCATTCGAATGTCGTACCCGTATACCCTTCTGTCAGCGCATCCGACGGCTACTATTGGCCCACCAAATGGATTGAACTCCACGCAACACACGGCACTGCGACCCACACCAGGATGAACAGTAGCAACGCCTTCCCCACTATCGCAACGTGTGTCCCACATTTGCATGGTTCCATCATCCGACCCGGATGCACCCAAAACCGGATCCCAATGTGAGTAGTCCACACTCCAAACCCTTCGCCCGCCATGTTCATCTCGTTCGAAGATTGGTATTCTCCTCTCAAGATTATATTCCATCACCACCCCGTCGTAGTCTCCGGACCCTAGAACCCGCCCGTCCGACCTGGGTTTCCATCGGATGCTGCTAAGCTTAGCTGGGGTACAAATATAATAGTCACAAGCCCTAGCATGGTCTAAGCAAATAATTTCGTGCGCATTTTGGCTAGTATTTTCATGCGCAATCAAGGACTTGAAGTTGTAAATTCTTATCTTTCTTGCTATTCCACCCGTGGCAATGATGCTGTTCGTGTGGTCGAATTCGATCACCCCTAGAGCATCCGATATGGCTGGAGTACTACTGAAATTGTTGTTTCCTGATGAAACAATTGTTGTGAGACTGAAATCCCATTCACACCTAGCTTTTTCTTCTTGTTGTTCTTGTTCTTCCTCTATGGCTTCTTTTTCTTGGTTTTGAGATTCTTGAGTATGGTGGTGACTATGCCGATGGAATTTAGCGGAGAGGTTTTTCATTTCCCATTCAAGATACACAGCTAGTTGATGTATATTTGGAGCTTTTGTCTTTGGCTAATTTGGACCAATGAAAGGCTACCTCCATGGATAAATAGTGGCCCTTGATATCTTTCCTTCATTATTTCTCCTTCTGTCATACCTTCCCGTATATCGCCAAGAACCTCAGCAATGTCATGTAGGGAACTACGTGTCTTGTTTAGGATTACACGTACATTGCAATGCTTCAGAGGAAAAGGTTTCGGCAATGGTTTATGGTTGAGGCGATTTTAATGGACTTTAATTACACCATTAAGATCCCATTAAAAGCTTGTATAATAGATCCATATCTATCACCTTTCTCCACAAGTAAAATTAAAATTAGATATTAACTTCAAATAAGAAAATACTTAATTTTAATACGCCAAATTACGTTGATTAAGAATCTATTCGAACTCCTAAAATAAAAGAAAAATAAGTCAAATAGAACATTAAATAATACATCGATAGATCATCAAGATGGTTGGTTATTAACACAATTAGATTATTGTATAAAAAAGAACCTTGAGAAATACAATTCTATATATTTTTCATTCATGTAAGGAGGCGCAATGTGAACCTCACAAAATTCAGTTGCTTGTGCTTGTTTTTAATTTATTACCAAATATATATATATATATATATATATATATATATATATATATATATATATATATATATATATATATATATATATATATATATATATGTCCTCTCCTCTCATTATGGTAAAAACAAGAAAAATCACTCCTCCAAAGCTTCCAATAATACTGTCGAAGGTGCTGAGCTCAAACAATAAATAAAGTATTCTCATCTTGATAATTACTTCACGTAAGAGCACAGCATCAAAAACTAGCTACCACGAATGCCTTGAATTTGAAAGAAGGTGAGATTAATTAAGACTGAATTAATTTATTAATCTGCAATTTTGCTAAAGCGAGAACAGTTAATATCCTTGTAATTAATGACTCTGATTAACGGGATGGATCTGTGTCAACGATCGTTGCTCGTATTCCTACCATAACTTCATCTAGAACATGAGATGGGTGGTTTAATTTGTACATTTTTTCTTTAAGAGAATCGAAAAATACTAACTTGAATTTTGATTTTCAAAGCCTTAATTACATTCCATGGGGACCCTATGGACGCACGATCATTCAATATTGATCAAGTGGCTGTGGGAAAATTAAGAGAATCGCTAGCTGGTCGCTTATGTGCCTCAATTTTATGAAAGAATGCATGTGTGGATGCAGGCTGTCTCATGTCCCTCCACCTACGTGGTCTCAGCCAAACCTTTTGTGTGTCTGAACTTTTCCCAACTTTTATATGAACGAAAAGATATTGTCAACTTCTTAGTAATTAATGTGATTTATTGATTCTAGATTTGAAAAGGATTTCATGCATTTTTGAAAAGACAGTGATGATATTTTTGTACTTTAAATAAAAACCATTCTTTAAAAAAATAATAATTTAATGTGTTACCTAATTAATATATATGAAATAATTAAACATAAAAAATTTAAATCTTGTGTGA